TAATAATAATAATAATAATAATAATAATAATAATAATAATATTATTATTATTATTATTATTATTATTATTATTATTATGATGATTATGATTATTATTATTATTATGATGATTATGATTATTATTATTAAATTTTTCTTACCTTACCCCCGCAACTATTGCATATTTTCATTAATTCTTCATAGACCAACTCAACACACCTCACACTAGGTGGTTCCAATAGTTGAATTTGTGGTTTAACAAGAAGATCAAAGGCAATTTCCGGAACAAATAAAGATGGTCGAGGACCTGTTGAATTTCGAATTGCAATTCTAATATCCTGAATAGAGAGATTACCACAAGGACTAATTGAATCCAGAGCTGTTCCAAATACATTATTAAATATATAATAGATTCGTGCGCCACCGCATCTATATACAAATAATTTCTATATAAAAAAGCGTAGATATAAATACATATACACTATATACACTTTAGCTTACAATTCCTTTGTCGAGATTTCACGAGATGTTCCATCAATTGACGAAATAAAATCATTGGCGAATTTAGTGAGCAGTTTTAAAATTAAGGTACCCTATAGTGAGAAAATATGAGGTGAGATCACATGCTAAAGGACCCTTTTTAAAATATTACGAGAAAATATTAACCCTGTGTTCGCCTTTGCCTGAAAGAGCTGGATCTCCATATGAAACAAGTTCTTGCTGAGTTTGGCCAATTAGTGTGTTTATTCTTGTTTTCATATCTGGCAATCTCTCCCGAATATGATTCATTAAAATCTGCGAAATAAAAATCGACCGGTAACAATCAAAAAAAGTTTTCATACTCGTAATTCATTCATTATAATTAAAAGTTGCATTTATGGAACTTACATTATTAAGGGTTTTTGCTAGGAAAGGCGTCCCACATCGATTTGCAATACTTTTATAAGCTGTATGATTTTTAAAAAAGTCCGCCTCTGATTTCAGTGCTTCAGACATTGGTTTATTCCCCACGATATCCTGTTGGCTGCGATTAACGACACCGATAAATCCCAATTTTAATGGGAAAACACGGCCTGTTAGAATATCCAGTGCATTTGTTCCAGCGTCCATCAGATCTAATTTAGTCAGCACACCGATTGTTCTTTTTCCTTAAAAAGTTATTAGGATAGGAGTTGTCAGTGAAAATTCAAAAAAAAAAAATAAAGTAAATTATTATTCGCAGTAAATCACAAACCTTCAAAGTCAACCTGTTTAGCAAGCTTTAAACTCTCTGAATTCACTAAATCCACATTTGCGGGACTTACGGCTAAAACAATACTAAAAAAAAACCATTTTTTTTAATGTATTATTATAGATGACATATTCTCTTCGCGATCCATCCTTAATTTAGTTGTACCTATTTGGTTTCGTAATATAATCAAGAATAAGATTTCTAGTTTGTTTTTCAATATCGGTAGGTTGATCACCTAATAAATAAAGTTAATTGTTTCAAGTACTTTGGAGTAAGCTCAGACAAGGATTACGATCAACTTACCAACTGGTATCTAAGTAAAATCAAAATTGTAGCGTCCAAAGCAATCCAATATTAGGAAATCCACTTAAAGAGTGAAATCTATATAGAATAAATACCTTTGTCAATCCGGGTAAATCAACCAGGGTCAAATTAAGAACATTAGGCGAAAAAATTTTCAAATTAATAGGCGACCGCGAAATGCCCTTATTCTGGCCAGCCACCCTTGCAGTTTCAGCCTCAATCTCTTTTCGAATTTCATCGAAATCTGTGAATTTTTGGTCAGGTGCATGCAGAAACTCTCCGTACTCTTCTGCGTGGCCATCTTCATTCTCGTGAGTGTTTACAAGCTGAAGCACTAGAGGGCGTCTGGTTACAATTCCAGTTCCCCTTGGCAAAAAATCACGTTTAACAATGTTCTCTAGCACAGAAGACTTGCCAGACGACTGAGAGCCCACCACAATAATTTGTGGAAGATCTACAGTATCACTGCCGATTGTATTGAAAACATCCTGAAGTTTATTGACTAATGGAATGAGGTCGTTCATGTTTTATACGACTTCAGCAACCAACTATAGCTCGAAATGCTGAGATTCAAAATTGAAGCCCTTTGTTTTTGCTCTCAACTTAATACACTTGATAGAAAGATTCGTTTGATGTTTGTTTAACTGGCTTTCTTATGAGGTGCAGAAAGAATAACAATGTTAGCGTTAGGATATGATTGAAAATTAATTGATTATTGTTTTTTCAACTCGCGGTAAAAAAGGGGAGAATTTAAAATAGTCGTCACATGATGACGATGTTATACAAACATCTGTGATTTTAAAACGGAAATGGGAATATGGTATTTTACGCAACAACCGCAGCACCGATCAAATTTTTTGTTAACGTAGTGTGTAACCAACGTTTGAATGTATTGTCCAATAACTAGTTATTGGAAAGATGTGGCCCCCGGAAGTTTTATATAAAGGAATCGCGCAGAATCAACAATATCGCGTTCTTTAATCAAACCATTTTTTTGATAAAATGACAAATTCCTCCACCCAAAATGTTCGATCTGCCGCGGGCTCTTCCTCCCAACCGATCAACGACACCGTTCTCGAAGAGTTTCGAAAGGAGTGGAAAATAGAGGTTGAATCGAAGAAACTTCAGAGAGACTCAACTCCCGTGATCTCCAGTGTTGAAAGTTCAGAAATACGTGCACAGCCTTTGGAACACCTGGAAGAGACAAAAGATAGTGATGTTCGATGGATTAAGAGCAAATCAACGGAAAATCAAAATGCGTTGGATATATATATCCAAGCAATAGCGTTCGAACGTGAAGGAAACATGGGAGAAGGTTTCGTAAAAAATTGACCTTTAGCTTATTTTTAATATTGACAATGAGATTACTTAAATATTCTTGATTATAGCTCTCATAAGATACCAGCAGGCTTTTAAGCTAGACCGTCATGTTGATTATACATATAAAAAACATTATAACGATGCAATGCGAGAAGCAACGACTAGCGAGGGAACATCCTCAGAACTCTTCAAACATTTCGAACAAGAAACGATGATTGCACGAAGTTCATCTTCTACTAGCTCTACAACCAACGATTCAGTATACAATCTGATCGAAACATTACGAGATCAAAGACTTGAATATGAACCATTGGAACCCAATAAAAACATTCCGATTGCAAAATTACCCAATGAATTGATTCTGTGTATTCTCAAGCAGTTACTTTTGTTTGATATTGCATCTGTTGGGAGATTTTCATTAGTTTGTAAAAAGTTTTTATTGTTGACGCGTGAAAATTCTATTTGGCGGTTTGTATGCCTACGCGCGTTCCATTTGGATCCTAGAGAATCGATCTATATTTTACAAAAGGATGTTATGAAAAAATATAATAATGATTGGCACAGAATGTTTATTGAAAGGTAAGATAAAACGATTCTTTAGAATATGATTAAATTGCTGTGGTGATACATAACTAACATTTTTTTTCTAAAGACCACGAATAAGATATGACGGAGCTTATATAGCACTTTGCTATTATTTAAGGTAATATCATAAAAGTGTTATATTGCATGCTCGTCAATTCTCCTGACGACGTATAGCATCATTTTCTATTTACAGACCTGGTTCTACTGAGAATGTTTGGAATCAGCCAATTCATCTAGTATCCTATTATCGATTTATACGATTTTTCTCGGATGGCACTTGTATTAAATTGCAGAGCTTTCGCGAACCGAAAGCAATAATAAGAAATTTCGGATTTGATTATAATTCCAAGGATCTTTTGACTGGTTGTTGGGAATTTGATGAAAATACCAGTCAAGTGAATATTACCTTGACAGAAACGAGCGCTATGAAACATACACGATATATAAAGTTATCTTTGAAGTCGACTGAACGTGGAAAACATAATAAACTTGTTTGGAACGGTAAGATTTTTTTGTATTTTATATATTTCACACATGCACAAATTTCCCTAATTTGATATTTCCGCATTTAATCAGAGTATTATAGTATCAATAATTTGACTGGCGAGAAAGGAACTTTCAACCTAAGAAACGACAAAAATTTCATATTTAGTAAGGTGAGTTATCTGAGCTGATTTTCGTTAAAATTTCTTTATAGTTTAAATGGTTGTTGATGGTTTTTTTATTCTTTTTACAGGTAAAAAGTTTCGGAATGGGTTGGTAGTACAGAATAACTTTAATCAATAGATAAGTGTTAGACATTATAATGTGATTAGTAAATTATAATTTCGACACTCAGTTGTATTAAATTTTGTAATTTAACGTTAATATTCACGAACAATATAAAAGTTATGTTTTGTCTATCACGACTAGATTATATGTCTTGTTAATCACCTGAAAATCTTGGTAAAACCATAAAGATGTGACGCGTGGGCAAGTTTCTTTACGGAATTTTCTACACTCAATACATTCATTTATATACATACATGTATGTATATTAATATATATATATATATATATTGATATACAAGGTTTTTTTTACATACACATTCGTTTTTTCTAATAGCAACAATCTTCGATACCAAAATCAAAGAATAAATCTGGCTGGCCGGAAGACACGAAACATAGATACTTGAAGGGTTAGATATATAATCACATTCATAGCATATATACATATAATGCTCCCACGACGAAAATCATCTCTACGAAAATTTTTGCTAACGACATTACTTATTGCCATCAGTCTAACACTTGGGTCTCTTCTACTAGGCATATTTAACTATGTGTGGAATGGTGGTAGTGGTGATAGTGGTGGAGGTGCCACAAATCCACTACCGTCAAAGAGTAACCAAGAAGCAAAAAACATAACCAACGAGAATAATAGAAAAAAATCACCTTCTCTGCCATTGTGTAATCGTTCCCTAACATTTGTATTAAGCGACTGCTGTGGCTTCCCCTTTCAAATGACCGGCCTAATCAACGCGATAATTTACGCAAAAGACACCGGGCGTACTTTTTTCCTCGATGATTCGAAATGGAATTACGGTCGTTGGGATATCTTTTTCGTGAAGTTGCCGAAACCAGGGTGCGTTCGTCCGGATAAAACTAAAAAAGTCTATGATGGTCGTGATGATGATGACGGTCAAGTAGTGTTTGCACAGTTCCCAGATTACCCATTATTAATGAAAGATCTCAACAAAATGGATCGTTCGTTCACAAATGCACCACATCAGATAATGACTCATTGGTCGTGGCATTTATTGGATGAGCATTTGCTTAGTAGATACACAAATACTAGTCGTGATGGAGATGATGATAACAGTAAGAGAATAATTAAAAGAGAACTCGAAAATATATTTAAAGAACAAGAATCGGTACTATCGAAAATTTGGCGACCAAATCGTGAAGTACGACGATTGACACACGATCAGTCTTATGAAATTGGCATTCCGCATAACCATGGTGGAATGCGTCCTGAGAATCCTTATATCGCATTTCAAATACATCGTCCAAATACTTTGGATTTATATTTATCAACGGCAGAGCAATATTTGAAGAAAGTGACTGAAAGAATGAATGAATTAAAGAATAAAGAGAAAAGTAATAATATTGCTGAAGACGACGAAGTCACTGTTTTCATAACGAGCCGAAAAGAAATATCAGAAGTACGGCGAGCCCTATCGTTTAGAAAACCCAATTGGCAATTTATCACCTCATTCGAAGATGAACCAATGTATCGATTTGACGCGGCTCAGAAACCCCGACTAATGTCTTACCGACTAGATTCGCGAATAAATTTCGGGATGGCTTTGATTGCCGATATCACATTGATGTCTCAAGCGGATCATTTAGTGTGTACTTTCTCGGCGCCGTTATGTCGGTTTTTGGTAGTATTAAAAGGATGGAAGGCGGCTACAATGAATACATGGGAAGCTGGAGGTACTACACCAATTGATGATGGTACTAATAATGGATGGTTCCCGACTTTGTACTCCATTTCTAAAGATGGCAAATCGACTAATCCTCATAACGCTTATTGGATTGTAAATAAAAAGGCGTCATCATATCGTAATAAAAAATTTGATATGTTGTGAAATTAGAATTGTTTTTATTTGAAATAATAATTATCTTAGAATTGTTTTTATTTTGAAATAATAAATAGCAATTTTTATTATTTACATTATGGAGTTCTGTAAAAAAAAAACTAATTGTATAACAAATTATATATATATATATATATCCTAGAATTAATATAATCACTTGTAAAAAAAACATTATCCATTTCATTTCATACAGAAGACAATTATATGAAATCCTAGAAGTATACTTTTTATTTTAATTAAGGTCACATTTTTATTTTTTTTCAAGTAAAAATATACACATCATTTATTCTTAACCGAGTAAAACATACCAATATTCCCGAAAATAACTGTCAATCTTTTTTTTGTGAATTTTAATGATACGATCTTTTTAAAAGTGTCTACATGTTTTATATAACAGCAATAGTTTGTTTGGAAACAAAATTAAGTTTACATACAGTAAGTACAAATATATATTATGTAAGAAAAGAAACAAACTACTACTAGTGCGTTGATTGCTATTTTTAAAAATAGGTGATGATGTAATGTAATATAGTATTAAAAATTTTAAAATTTACAAATATAATGATGATTGTGATGATTATGATAATAATAATAATAATAATAATAATAATAATAATAATAATAATAATAATAATAATAATAATAATAATAATAAT